ATCCTCCAAGCCCTCCGTATGCTCTGTACAGTGAGCACTGGAACGGGTGTCGCCATCTCAACGTGTCCCAAGCAGCACAATGCTGACGACCCAATTGACACCTCGCTACCCCTCACACCCAGCCCAGGCCTGACACCCTCTCTCGCTCGCCGCGGCTATCGGGGAAATTGTCGCTCACCGACTTCACGTGCGGGCCTGCGGAAACGAAACGGAATCCTCCCTACCCTCAAGAGAGGGGAGGAATGGATGAAAGGGGGAGCAACCGGCGTTTTTTGGATACTGGATTACAGCTCAGTGCTCGGACTTGCTTTTCGAGGCGGATCGGACCTTTTGGTTGTGTCGCCGGGGCTGTTTCGAGTGTGCTTTTGGAGAGGGGCTTTCTCAGTAATTCTGAACTCACCCTCTCTCTCGTTCCCTCTTCCTGGACCAGGCTGGACGAATGCACGAGAGAGGGAGAGAGAGAGAGAAAAGCGCGCGGACGAGCCCTCTCCGTTTTCGGGAGAGGAGGGGACGGATCGTGTGCGGGAATTTCGAAGTGAGATTTTGGAGGTGATCATTTGTTGCATTTCGCCTCCAGCCAAGAACAACCGGTGGCTTGTTTGGGAATATCCGATTCATCAGGTGCGGTCGTGTTGAATGTTCTGGGACACTAAGTGCGACTTTGAATTGTGTAGTAGGGCTTGGCTGATGTTGAAATTTGCAACATATTCCTTAGTATAATAATGAACAATAAATGCACGCAAGTAATATTATGCTATGTCAGTTTCTTAGATTAAAATACACTATGAGTTCTAGCAACATAGTGAAATTGAAAAGTAAAAAGGGAAAACGGGTTATCATTTCATAATCCACATCATCATTTTAAAAAATATTATGAGTAGCTTAGTTCTGCCCATACTTAAAGGCTTAACTTATAAAATATCCTAAATTAAAAAATATACCCTCATATAATTTTCAACTGTGCCTACAGAGAAAAAGAAGCAGATGGAGAAAAAGGACGCGCCAATAAGAAAACATAGCAATTAAAACAACAACAGTGGCAGCAGAAACAGCAACAATAGAAAATAACAACAACAACAAAAACAAACAGCAGAAAAAAACAACAACAAAAACAAACAAGAGCAAAAAAAAAGCAACACTTACACAAATGGAACATAAGTAACTAACAAGCTAGGTGAATCAGGACACTGACAATAGAAGTATCTATAACAAAGAAAAGTACAACTCACTTTTGGTTAGTCAGTTCACACACCAAGACGTTGTTTTAGGGCACATTGTAAGTTCAGTAAGTAGATATGTTATCGCTGTCTGTATGATAGGATGGCCTTGTGTCGAATGTCTGTTGGGGAATTCATCAAGAACTATATTATTAATTTGTGTGTGAAAGGGCTTTGGGTTTTAGTTACAACCTCACTGTGTGAGGAATTTTAACGTAGCAGACCATGATATCAGAGTAATCTCATTTTTTTTTCTCGAAGAATGTGTAAATAAGGTGGCATTAACAAAACGCAGTGAAGAACACAAATAGGCACCGTCGTTCTTTCTAACAGAAAATAGCACAGTTCTTTTGAAACACGCAGAACAACTCAATCTCTCTGATCAGTGCTATGGAGTGACTTCCTAAACCTTTTATGTTTTCAAAGGGGAGTAGACAAGTGTCGAGTATAACTGCTTCGGTTAGGAAGTAAAACGCTTTTGGTAGCAACGCATAGCGCACAATAAAACGTTAGTGTCCTTTTTTATTCATTTTCTTTGAAAACTATTGTATCTAGCAGCTTCATTGATACTGAAATATCCTGAAATATTAATCAAGTACGTTTTTAGCTGAGGGGAAAACATCACCTCCCCTGTCGTCTCTTTTTTCCCTAAATGTGTTGTATGTCCACTCCATTCTTCAAAGTGTGTTTTTTACGCAGATGTTCAAATTATCCTCGCATATTTCAAGAGCAGGTTACGTCGACCTGGTCCAGGCTAATGGGACATGATTAAAGGCCAATCCGAACTCTTTGGGAAATTTAACGCTCTGCGTGTGACATCTTCCTTTTTCTCAACAACTATAATAGTATGTGAGGGGTTTGTTCAAAGCGTCCGTTAAATAGAA